TACGTACGTACGTTACGTTACGTTCGTTCGTTTCGTTACGTTACGTTACGTAGTACGTACGTACTACTACGTACGTACGTACGTACGTACGTACTACGTACGTTACGTACGTACGACGAGAGAGAGAGAGAGAGAGAGAGAGAGAGAGAGAGTACCTGCATTCTCACAAAAAGAGAGAGGAAGAAAGAGGTAATACCTAAATTTGCAGCAAACTCCAGCCATACGTCAAATGCTGTTCTGTGCAATTTCAATCTTCTCTTAATGAATTTCTTAGAAAACTTTGAGATGAGATCCCATCTATTGGTGTTGTAACATATGCTGCAATTGAAGAAACCATTTCAGAACCAGATGATTGCAAAGAGGAACTGACAGGAAAACCTGACAGCTGAATAGCATCTGATTGCAAATAGGGAAGAAAACAAAAAACGTTATATCAAATGCTGTAATTGATGAAAATGTTTTAGAAGCAGCTGATGTAGCATTGCATATTGACTGTTCTCAATTGCAATGAGGAAACACACAAAGCAAAAAGACAATCAGATTACCCAAATTTGCAACTTCAAACATATGCAAAAGAAACATCCCTCTATCTAAAAATAGAGAAAGAAGGAAATAAAGGATCAGATGCTAAAGCAAAATGTAGGTGTCCACAAGAGCACCAGGAAATATTACTGATAAAGTGATAATACCTGAAGACTATGTCTGCTGTGGTGGGATGCAGCTCTAAAGAGTTCCTTTTCATGATTTGGAGAATCTTTTCCATTAAATTAGCATCATTTTTCTCTTTAGCATACAGCTGCATACAGTAAACATCCATATTAGACAACAGAAATAATACAAAACAGTGCAGATATATTAACTGAAGTAGAGATAAAATAACACCTATAATCATGACAACGTTAACAAGGAAGCTTAAATCCATTCATTACCAATAAAGAGTGAGCAGACCCAATGCTTGGTGTCAATCCATAAATATTGTGCTTCCATATGGTTCTCTGTCCTGCAATGACAAGGAAGCTATACTGTCCAGACTTACAAAAGCATATGCTAGCACCTCAAATCTTTCAAAAGTGTGAAAAGAGCCAACGTAACAAGGCAGGATATTTGAGTCTATTGAAAGCCTTTAGATATGCTTTTTGAATTATTTGTTTAAAATTCTTTCAAATAACTCCGCCATGGCCGGTCCCAAGTCAGTCATGCCGGTCCCAAGCCCAGAGAAAGGGGTAGGGTTGTGTTAGGTGAACAACTAGCGTAAAACTTTGCCACATCTTATAATGAATCCTAAACCAATTGGAATGGTGGAACAGGATTTGTGTAACCCACCCCAAATAGTTGGGATAAGGCTCAAATGATGATGATGATAGAAATATTTTCAAATCTTATGCTTTCAAAAACCCTTAGGGTAATATAAGTGCTGGGAAGACAATGCCTTATTTATATAGCAAATGAAACAAAATATCACCCTTGAAATAAAACTCTACGAATACATAATCAACTCCACAGAAAACAAGATAATAACTAGGGAATCTTGAGAAGACAAAAATAAGAGGGATTGCACAATTAACCAGTACAAAGTGTTTCTGCTGATGATATATTACAAAGTATTATATTACATTGTGTCATGTCAGCAGTTAGAAAATAACTTTTTTTTCACTTTCTTTTCTTTTTAAGGGTGGCTCTTTTACCAATTAGAAAAAAGAAATTTTCGTTTTCAAAATTGACATTTTCAATTCTTGTCACTTTTTTAATCTCAGATGAGGCATCAGGACTAAAGAGTGCAATATATTAGTAAAATCAAATAAATCTCCAGATTCATAGTTGAAACTTCATGAGTACATACAAACTGCAGGGGGTTCTTATCATTTAATGATAGCTGGAATGTAAAAATGCAGTATTACATATATTAAAATATTCAGGTTACAAAACAAGACGAGACAGAACAATGGCATAAAATCACACATAGTTAAATGTTCATTCTGTTCTCATTAGTTTGTTTGAATATAGAACATTTCAGCAACCTACCAAGTTCGAAGGCACCAGAACGAGCACATGCCTCAGCAACTTTCAAGCAAATATTTGGGTTGAAGTTTGCATGGATGCGAAGGTTTGACAATCTCTGTAAGAAGATGTAAGTTATACCAAAATGTTGGCAAACGTGAGAATAAAGATCTAGATGAAAAAGATAAAAAACCAGTAGAAAAGAACATGCAGCAGGATAAGGAAATGAACATGATCAAAGTGTAACCCACAAATCTCCGGAGATTCTGAAGCATTTGAAAAAGAAGCTTCACATCTTCCTTGCTTTGACAGTTGTCCACGAGTGATCTCAGCCAAGCATTAGGGGGCATGGTCTCCGCCTCCACAGATTTGAACATCTTATCATACAGGTCCTTTACAACATCTGCATTTAATTTTCACAGTTAACCAATGTAGTTCAAGCTATAGTCATGCAATAGCTAGTAAAAATAGGTAGAAAAGAGTGTTGTTCACATGTGCCATTTTCTTACAAGTAAAGCTCGCATTTTTAATGTGCAGGTAACAGTTCTAACATAAGTATCTATATGGGAGATTAAAAAGGCACAATATGTTGCCATAGAATTTATTAAATAATAAATAAAATGATTTTAATATAGGCCCATTACAATGCTCCGCCATTAAAGACAATAGGTGTGGAACTGGTTCAAGTCCAATGAAGGTAAGAAGATAGGTGTTCAGCAACAATTGAAGTGGTTCAAACAACAGTTGTAAATGCCAAACAACGCATCATCTAAACTTGGAATTGTGTGGAATTAGAAAATCCAAACCTGTAGGACTATCACTTTCTTTCTTTGCCTCTGTGCTGAAATGGCTCCCTGTAATTTTAGGGCATAGAGAAAGCTTTTGCAAATGTTGATCTTGACCTAATTACATGTGCCAACATCCTGGTTAGTTACTTGAAATCCAAAGAAAAGAAAATGAAACAAACTAAATGAGTATGACCTAGAGCATATCAAATAACATGAAGTTTTAAGCAATTAAATAGTGAAATTTCAACTAGCCAAAAAAACAAAACAGTATCCCAGAAAGCTCAGCTAAAACATAAAATAGAAAATTTTATAAGGGATTGTATACAATGAGACCATTTACTTTAGGTCTAAGGAGTTCACAACTACTTATAACCATCCGATGTGAAATTTGATAGCTTGGGTGTGTCATGAAGTTCAAAAGAATTTGGAACTTTGAACTTGGTCAATGGAACAAAGGCAGCAGCCCAATTTCATATATAATGGTCAAGATTAATTGTGGCCTTTCTATACCAAAGGTGAATGGTCTCATTTTATACTTTTCCATTTTATAAATATAACCAATCCAAGACATAATGCAAAGAACCACCTCCGATTAAGGCCTGAAAAATGTTGTATTCTTGGACAAAATTTGAATAATTCCATTGATAAAAATCAGTCGCTTTAGATAGAAATCATGGTATTCAATATTACATATTGAAATCACTCGCTTTAGATAAAAATCAGTCTCAGAGTAGAGAACCCTAGCATGCTCCTATGCATATGTGTGTGCATGAGTGTATTTCCTGAGCTATTGTAACCGCTGCATGTATATATGAAAATATAGGCATGGCATGTATGGAATGTATGTTTTACATAATGCAAAGGAAACAGCAACACTGGTCAACCATGGTTCACTAATGAATTATCACAAATCCTCCAAGCCCACAAACCCAGACTGCAAAGGGAAGCTAATAATAGTGAATTTGTAGAGCGGGGCAAGTGGAAAACCCATAGTGGATGTTATGGGCTTCTAGGTCATTAAGTAGAGAAAACTCATAGCGGATGAACTTCACAAAATTCGATATTATAGCCTGTTTCCTCATTTGAAAGATAAACTACAACAAAAAAAATAAAAAGGTCCACTCCTTAGGTCAATCCCATAGGTGACCAACTAATCAGTGTCTCTCTCTCTTTAGTCCACAAGAAATATCTAAGCCTACTGATTATAATGTGGGTATAGAGATTCTGGCATTATGAACAAGATGGAATGGATTCATAGATGTTACCAAATGGTTGAGATCCAATTGCATTCAGTGACCAACCCAACCCAGTAATCCTTAGACTATTCTGATACTTGTTGAGATTTTAAATTTCCTACTGGAAATTCACATCCATTATATGACAACAAAGTAAAAAAGCTTAACTGAAAGAATGTAATAAACCCTCCTCACACCTTAAAATAGTTCAACAGAACAATTAGATATAAAAGTAAACACTATGAGGTTACTAGAATAAAATATTCAGCACAAGTGAAAAATCCAACAGAGAATAATCACAATCGAAAGAGAGCAACATAAAGATCCTAATAAACTACAAATGGCAGAAAATGATAGACCATGCCTCTCAGACACTGAAAGTCAATCTAACACTGAAAATTGGATCAACATGGAGTAATAATATACCCAACAATCATTCATCAAAACAGGATAAAGAAGAACTAAAATAAAATGAGGAAGAAAACATGGGGCTCTAACCATCTGACCCATGAAAACAATTCAAATCCCGATTGAACATCAATAAATGAGCATTTTCCAGAAAAAAACCACATCATCATAAGCAATAGAATGGGAGCATACTCGGTGAAAATGGGCTTCGGAAAGTGGAGCGTTTGGGCTGCTGCCATTTCCAAGAAGCATGAAGACTCTGATCAAGCTCCGAGAAAAGAGAGTCCCCAAGATTGAAAATGGGGATTCTCAGGGATTTTAACAGGCGCCCATTAGAATAGACTTGCATCTCTCTCTAACCCCAAGTAAGAGTTCTCAGAGGAAGTTCCTTATCACTCAAGCACAAGGAAGAGAGAGAGAGGGTTTAGCTGAAGCTCGAGGGGAGGGGCGTTTGCTCTCTTTGGTTACGATCTTACAAAAATGGCAGGGACAAACTCGTCTTTAGCCCAAATGAAAACGCATGCTGCTCGCGCAGCGCGCTTCCTCTGGTAAACCCCAAGAGGCTAAGCCGTGCTTATTACAAGTATTATTTTGGGAAATTGCCACAAATATATCTTATTTTTGTTTAATTGGAAAAAAATCTCTCAATTTTTATAAACGATGTAAACGAAATTTATAAGAGTTAAGAGTTTTTTTTTCTAATTAGACAGAAATTAAAGTATATTTATAGGTGAGGTTTTCATAAGGTGTACTTATTATATGGAAATAAGATCTACCTCTAAATTTTAATTGATGTAGTTTTAGAGTCAAAAACTCTATAATGAGTTGACTTATTTTCATCCCTTGTTATAAAATTTAAAAATTTAAAAAAGGTGTGGCTTGTATAAGGTTGAAATATTGTACCTTCCAATTAAGGTGCATCTCCAAAGTTTATCATAAATATAATTTTAGTGTCAAATGGTTAGGATGGCTTGAGAATCTATTTTCATCTTTAATTGTAAAACTTTAAAGTAAAAAAATAGTTTAGATCCAATAGATTTGTGAATGTTTAAAAATCTTGAAAATTGACAGTTCAGATAATGTGTTACAAGATACACTATTTTTCGGATTCGAAATCTTTTTTTCTTTTTATATTCATACATTTCGATGTTGAGGTGATCAATTAGAGGGTTTTTCAACATCAATACAACCTTTTATGATGAATTTTTAATGTGCACCTTAATTCTACACTTTAAGGTTGCAACATTATATAAACTTTTTTCATAGATCGAGCATATCTATAAATACTTAAAAGTCTTAAAAATAGATAGTTTCACTAACTATTATAAGATGCACTACTTTTAAAACTTGAAAAAAAAATTTCTTTGTATCCATGCATTTTGAGATCGAGATGATTGGTTTGAAGGTTTTCCAATAATAGAACACTCTCTTCTAAAAGATTTTTGAGGTGCACTTTACTTCAATAGTATAAGGTTCACAGCTTATATGAACTTTACCCATGTTCTTTATGTTAAAAATCTGGCGGCATAACATTTTGAACCTAGCCTAAGCGTTAAAAAGAAAAAGAAAAAGATAAATTTGAATTGCACAATCTATGTATTTGAAAAGAACAATGCCCCAAAACAGAGCAATCCAATTTTTGGAGGGTAAAACCTAAGCGTTAAATAACTCAAAATTTATTTTAAAAAAAAAACATTTAGTGATTATCCCAAATTTTTAAATAAAAAATCCTTCAAAGTATCTCTTTTCTCTAGAAGAGTTAACGTACAATATGCTTCCGCATGAGCATGCTCTATGCGAAAAAAAGTGGGTATTTCATATTTTTTGATATTATATATTGAGATTGTCTACGAAGAGGCTATTTATTTTTTGTATATGGAGGTCACAATCATTCATTCATTAGACGTCAAATTCGATGGCTTAGGGTGAGTCATGAAGTTTGATAAATTTTTTTTTGAAACTGTGTTTATTTTATAACACTTTTATAACTACCTAATTTGAAATTTAAAAGAAAAAAATGATTATGACCTTCGTGTACAAAAGATAAATGATCTCTTTATAAACAATCTGTTGTATGCTAGGAGATCATGTACTTTTCATACGACCTGGTGGGGATCACCCTTATCCATTCGAAGTTAAATGTGAGAGTTTGAGGGAAGTAAAAAATTATGATAAATTTTCCTTTAGACTTTGAGCATGGTCAAATTATATACCTTGAGTCACCCGATTCATCATCCAATAGCTATAATAACATATTAAAACTAAACAGTCTCATTATATATGTTACGAATTAACAGTAAACAAGTGTCATTGTATACTTGTCCAACAAGCAAAATGCCATTTACGCCCAACATAAAAACATCAAATGCCCAGCAAGACAGCATATCAGTCAAAATTGTTTAGTAGGAAAAATTCCCATGACTCGTTAGTTTTTGTTTCTCTTTAGGGTGTACTTTATATAAGGTTGCAATCTTAAACAATCAAAATAAAATGTATACCTAAATTTTATTATAATATGTAAATATTCTTAAGACGATCTAGTAATCCATTTTCATCTCTAATTGTAAAGTTTTAAACTTTAAAAATAGTTCAAATCAAGTAGATCTATAAACACATGAAAATCTTAAAAATGGACAGTCTAGTTTATACGCTGCGAGATGCATTATTTTTTGGACTCGAAATCTTTCATTTTTCATATATCAATACATGTCAAAGTTGAGATGACCAATTAAAGTGCTTTCCAACATCAAAACAACTTTTTCTAATGAATTTTTGATGTGAACCTTTATTCTACATTTTTATGTTGTGACCTTAAATAAACCTTTTTTTTTTTGGGGAAGTCACCTTATATAAACCTTTTTCTTTTCTTTAAGGCACATTTTCCTTTATTTACTCTACTGTTTTCTCCCATTCTCTTTCTACTCGTTTTTACCACTCTCAATATTCTACCCGTAGTTATAAATAAGTAAAATCGCTCTCAATGTTCTTTCAGTAGTTATAAATAAGAGTCTTTGAAGGAAGTGAACCAGAATGAGCACAGTTACATGGAGAAGTAGGAAAACAATGATGGATTGGGAAGCAATAAATGGAGTTTTGAAAGGTGTCTAAAGAAGAATTGGTATATCGAGTAAAGGAGGTAAATGAACATAAGAAAGTATAAGAATGTCTAGAGTTTGGTACCTGCTACAAAAATTATTAAATTGAATTTCGATGGCAGGTCTTTAGGGAATTTAGATTTTGTTGGCGTTGGAGCTTAGCGCAAAATCAACACGGGTCAATCATGATCACTTATGCAGCGCCAGCGCACTTTATTACGCAGATAAGAAGGAAATGAAGCGCCACCGCAATTTATTACGCAGATAAGAAGGAAATGCAGGCTCACATTCAAGGCCTTAAGCTCCTTGAGGGCCAGCAGAACATCACAGAGGAAGGCGATTCAATGAATGGAACAACGTGTGGTCATGGTCATTATAGAGAACCCTGGATGGTAATCCTTATATTGAACAGGGTTAAAGACATATGCACAAGGAAGAATGTCTCTTACGTCCATGTACTTGGGCTAAGATATGGTGCAACAGTGAGCTTAAGAGTACATTTGTTTTGCGGAAGAGGGAGCTGTCAAAGCCCCTACTTTCGCAAAGTTTGAAAGCTGCGATTCCCATGGAATTGGCAGCCTCCAAAAAACATCAATTGATATTTTCTGTTTTTGTTTTTAATGCCACTGGAAACAGCTACTTCCAAACTTCACTTCTACTCCTCTATAACAACCGCGGGAGTGCCACAATTTGTGGAAGCCATGGCTTCCACAAAATAAATGCACTTCAGTGTGAATAAATTTGAATTTTGTGCTAGTTTTAGGTGGTATGGAGTTCGATGTCTTGTAATAGAGATTGATGGAAAGAAATAGATCCATGCTTTCATTCTCACAAAAATAAAAAGAAGTTACTTTTCCCCATTTATGACTACTTTCCTCTTTTCTTTAATTACTTCAACCACAATCGGGAAGAGAGACGAAGACAAGGATCCATGCTGGTTCAACTTGATAGCTTACATCAAGATTGGCTAAATTTTTGAACCGAAAGTATTATCCCGATAATATAAGAAAATGATAAAAATACCATGAAGCCCCAATTTTTGAAAAATCAGCATTATCACACACATTTCAAACCATTTCATCTTGGGGCAACTTAAAATTATCATCTTTTTAGCCATTTAATCTTTTGAACTGGGTCATTGACATAGGGCTGATATGAGGATACACGAAAATTTAATATAAATGATTTTAGCACGGGAATAATTCCATTGGAACCTTGGAGATTGGTACTATAGCATTTACTTGCCTACATTGACATGGTCAGATTTTTTGGTCATCCTCACTAGACATTCTTACCATCATAAGACTACTAATTGCCTTCTTTGTTTTCCTTTCCTATGTTCAAGGGGCATTTCACAAAAGAAATAAATCAATAGAGAAAAAAAGAGAGGTTAGGAAGTATATTGGAGGTCGGCCTTGTAGCTTACTGGTAAGAGCTTTTCAGACGGATCACCAACTTCTAGGTTTTAATCCCAATTTTACCAATCAAAGAAGGCTAAAAACAAAGAAAACCCACACGCTTTTCTTAATGGATATGTAATATGAGACCAAACAATTGAGTTTCACAAGATAATAATAGAGCAGTCCATAGTCCCACTAAATTGCCAATGTGGCGACATACACTACTTCTACGGAATTTTCATAGTCATTGCATTGGTGGGGCAATCGTCCGGGTATTGTACGATTCACAATGGCCACACTTCTGGCCAATTATGTGAAACATGACTTCAGTAGTTTCACTGCAATCATTGCACAAGATCCATACCTGCAAAGTTATATAATTAAGACAGATATTTGCACTGTGCTGTTAAAAACAAAGAAGACGTAATAAAGAAAAAGACAAGAAATGGGGAGGTGGATCACAATCTTTATACTTACCTATTTGAAACCATAAAAAATAAGTACAAGTAAACTTGCCCATTTTCCATGAGTAACACACTGAGAATTATCAAGTTCCAAAATGGCATGTATTACTTAAGGCTCAAAGTGTGCCTTTTTTAAAAAAAGTTCCATTTTCTGTAGATATATTTTTTTGATATATGAATAAATGTGCACACATGCACACAAAACTTAATTCTGTTTCACTTATTGCATCAGCCAACAACTTTTCAGTGCGACATAAGTAGAAAAGGTATTGAATTTTGTGATTCTTTTCACTAATCAACTAAACCTAACATTTCTCCTGCAAATATAAGGAAATCATGGCATCTTAAAAGACAGCAGAAATTATTCCATGAAATAAAATATAATTATACACAAGAAAAATACCTTTGAAGGACAAATCTTACAGGTTTGAATCTCACTTGCAAATCCAGAATAATGAGAAAAGGGGGGAGAAGGATGGCAAGGGAGGTGCAGATGACATACCTTCTTGTATCTGTAATCTTCAGGCATAATGGTTGCAGCAATCTGAGAATAACAATAATTATTATGCAAAAAAGAAAAAGAGAATAAAGAAAATTTAATATGTTACTATCATGAGCATGTAGACCGTAATCACAACCATCTATTCAGAAAAGGGAAAATACCAGAAGTCACCCGCTGGCGCAAAATTTCAAGAAATTAAAGGAAACAAGGAAAAGGAAGCAAATAAAATTGAGAAAACAACAGCTTCCATAGCATGCTGGTTTGCATTATGCATTCTCAAACATGGATACAGAAACGCGAAACAATATATGGATAAAGAACCGTGATGTTGTTTATACATACATCTTAGTAGAACACATGATGCATGACAGGCCTGAGCCCCACAGAGAGTTAAATGTTCTAGATGTACCATTATGAAATCAAATGGTCGAGACCTCTTCATATACAATCCGGAGTCTGAAGCATCCATTAAAGGTACTACCAGCCTTATGTGTAAGGAAAGTATATTATAATCCTAGGGACTATGGGCTACTCATAGTCCTGGGGGGTCATAAAGTGCAATGACATGATGGATGGAGATGGAGTGTAGCCCAATGATGCATCCCACCATCGTCATCACCATTCATTATTTCATTAAACTGTGATGGCCCCAAAGGAAATGCATGAGGAGACTAGTCTCACACTCCCACTCTCTCTCCCCCACTCTCTCGTATCACTTGACGTCTTTTACAATTTTTTTCCTTATATATAACATAGATACAGAGTTTTGCAATTCTTCTCCTTATATTTAACATAAACACAATCATTCTGCAGTAATTTACCTCAACCAACAGGATTCATGAATCTCAATGGAGCTTTATACACCAAAGCCCAAGTTTTCCATTTAAACCTTATATTTCATAAGAAATAAGAAAATAGACACATGGGGGCTCTTTTCCCGAACAATCTTGATTAATGGTTATTGAAAGGCAATTTTGGGACTAAATATATAGTATTACAAGTTTTCTCCGTTCTTGAAAATAGTCTGCTACTGTGCTACTATGACAGAAATGGAATGACAAGGTACAAGATATCAATAGGTAATTGTCATTACAGGTCTATTCAATTTCAAAGAGGGCTCCCAGATTCAAAGACCCATACATAAAATCTGCCTGGAGAGCGTAGGCCAAGCAATGAATAACCTTCAATCATACAAAAACTAAGTTGAATGGAAATTAGATCTGCGTGGCAAGGTATAGTTGTAACTGGCCAGGAACAACTAAGAAACAAAATTCACAGAAACAAACAATCAAGGGGAAGAAAATAATTTATGCAGTTTACTACAATATGCCTTAAGATAATTTCAGTCAGCTACAAACAGAAAGGTAAATAAAGATAAATTATGGAGAACTGATAAAACTACACATTTACAATTGAGAGATAGAAAAAGAATGCAAAATCACCTCGTCATCGATTTTCTGCCAGACTTTTGTTATGTCACAATATAAATTATGGAGAACAGATGAAACTACACATTTACAATTGAGAGATTGAAAAAGAATGCAAAATCACCTCGTCATCGATTTTCTGCCAGACTTTTGTCATGTCACAAACTGATTTAAAGCATATGGGACATGAATACCTGTTAAATTCAATGAAGAAGAACTTAGAATCCCATTATTATAAATGGTTCTAATAATGCTGAAAATTTTTAAACTAATCTATGAATGAAATCATGGATTACAATGTGAACATACTGATTATGTTCCTTCATCTCCATGAGGCACTCAAAATGCATTGTGTGCCCACACTTCAGAACAGTTGTATCTTTCAAGGAGTCAAATAAGTACTGATCAATTTCGAGATAAAAAGGAAAGGGGTAAGTAAGAAGCATGTAAAAAAGAACTAAAGTCCAAAACTAGTCAATATTAAAAAACTAATTCCAATACAAAACAATTTAAGAAATGACCTTTCTTGATTGTGTATGGAAAATTAGATCAAGAACAAACCTCATAACAAACGGAGCAATGGTGTCTCATTGAGTTCTCTACACACACATGGTTATTCCGTAATTTGACCGAGTAGCAAGATCCTGTAGATGTTCTCTCTTAGCAAATAATATAAACAAATATGATAAAAATGACATCACAAAGTGTGCATCTTATAGGGCTTTGACTACTATGTAATTAATTTCAAATGCAACCAAAGACAAAGTAAAAGGGAAATCCAAACAAACTAGACTTTACATAATGGCCAAAACAATGCCATGTTTACATTAATAATGAATAACCATGATAGTGTTCATGTGGGAAATGAGCTGGTGATGGAGGGAAAAATTATAATTCAAGTTTAAAGCATGTATGTTTTAATTTTAGTAATAGAATTTATTTTTAGGATTTTTAGTTTTTTAGGAATTCTAGGATTTTTATAGTTTTTTTTATTTATTTCATAAGTACTATTCATGGGTACTGTTCACAAGGGTAAAATTGTTATTACAAAATTTAAGTTTAAGTTAGGATATATACGTCTTTTTAGTCATTGTATGGATATGAAATATCTTTGAACATTGAATTATAATATATAAGAGCTGTGTAGGGCCTTGAGAGGGTCAATTGTACATGACTTTTAAAAATAAAAGCTTAGGCTTTTGGAACCCTAGACTTAGGGTATGGAGAAGAAACCCTAGGTTTCTACTTGTGTTGTGTTTGGCATTGTTTCTTGTTGATTTTACAACTTCCTCAAATTTCCTTGCATCAAATTGATATTAGAGCCCCGCGATCTATACAGAAAGTACAATAGCAGCATATGGAGTACTATAGTGCCGTATGGAGTTACCATAGCACTGTATGAAGTTACTATAGCATTGGTTTTTTTTATTGCCCTAGGTCAACAATAAAGTACATTGTTCCCTCAAATTCTCCTTCATCAAATTGATATCAGAGCCCGCGATCTACATGAAAAGTAATGTAACAGTGCACGAAGTATTGTAGCGCCTTACAAGGTTACTATAGCATTGTATAGAGTTACTGTAGCATCAAATTTTTTTGGTGCCCTAGGTCAACAACAAAGCGGGGTGGCTACAATGGGGGTCTAGAGTTTGTTGATTTTGGCTAAAGTTATATCAAAACAACCTAGCTCTTGTTGAGATTTCAGCAAACCCATGGCAGTGAGAAGGGGCCATAGATTGGGCATTTTCATAGATCTACTCCATGTAGATGACAGAATTGAGGAACTTGAAAGGCAAGTTCAGCACCTGGCGCAGCAGTTCGCAACTTTCAATAATGGGCAAGACGATGATCTTTCAGCCCAAGATGATCTCGAGTACAAGCCTTTTCATTTTCGGGCTCCGCGTGTGGAGTCTGGTGATGAGAATAACGATAGAAGACCTAGACGTGGGGAACATCACTCTAGGGTTTTTGATTTGGAGAATGAGATTCTTGAGTTTGACACAAGTTGTTTCAAAAATCTACAAGATGTAGATTGGGATCTGCCACCAATCTTTGATGCATACTTAGATGAAGAACAAGATCTTGTAGGAGACCAATCTACAATGATGTTCAAGATTTCGTGGTTGAATTGGTATTTGACAAGGAAAAAGTCAGACTCAAAGGAGAATTGAAAGGTGAAGTTGTCAGTTTAGTCGTCGATCTCAAAGATGCACTGGTGGTGTGTTCTAGAGATGAGTCTAGGCATGTTCAGCAGGGTTACGTAGTTGAAGTGATGCAATTTCAACAAATTTATGTGATTAAAAATATTCTATTGACATACAATGACCCTTTCCTCGAGGGTTTTTCAGTTCTAATGCACAATCATTGTGTTTTGATTAATGCAATAACCCACAAGTCCCATGATCATGTTTACAATATTCGAGTTGAAGAATGTTGTCAGACTAGCGCCAATTTCATTTTAGCACACTTCAAAATTTGAAGACGAGTTTTCTCCAACCAAGGGAAAATGATAGAGGGCAAAATTATATTTATTTTTAATTTCTATTCAATTTTAAAAGCATGTATATTTTGATTTTAGTTTTAGGATTTATTTTTAGGATTTTTAGTTTTTTAGGAATTCTAGGGTTTTTATAGTTTTGTTTATTTATTTCATGAGTACTATTCATGATTACTGTTTACGAGTACTGTTGATAGAGGTAAAACTGTCATTATAAAATTTAAGTTTAAATTCGAATATATAGGTCATTTTAATCATTCTCTGGACATGTAATATCTTTGAATATTGAATTATAATATATAAGAGGTGTGTGGGGCCTTGAAAGGGCCAATTTCACATGATTTTTAGAAATAAAAAAAAAAAAAAAAAGAGCTAAGGTTTTTGGAACCCTAGCTTGGGGTATGGAGAAGAAACCCCTAGGTTTCTTCAATTTATGCTTTGTGTTTGGCATTGCTTCTTGTCGATTTTACAGCTTCTTCAAATTTCCCTGCATCAGGTAGTTAGTTCAGCTGCTTTTGAAATAATTTCAAGATTTGATGCTAGAGGAATTACCCAATGGGCTACCTCCTCAGAGAGATATCCATCACTACATAGACTCAGTTCTAGGTGTTTGTTTACAAAATCTCCTGCACTACCGCATGAGTCTTCGTGAACATGGTAAGCTCCATAGGCAAATATCAGGCCTATTGGCTAAGGGGTTGAATCACTGTTGACTCCTAAGAAAGATGGCACTAGCATATGTAGACAACAGGGCCTCAAACAAGATCATGATCAAGTATATATTCCAGTACACTGTTTAGATGATATGTTGGACATGTTAATGGGATCCAAGGTGTTTCCAAAGGTGGACTTAAGTAGGGAACATCATTAGAACAGAATTAGACCAGGAGATGAATGGAAAACAACATTTAAGACTCGAGAGGGATTATATGAATGGTTAGTGATGCCTTCTCTATCTTCATAGTAGTTGATTGCTAATAGAATATGGTCAATTTTATAGTGAGCTGAAATACTTTGGATGATACCAGGCAGCCAGTCTTTACTTCAGGGTTCAGCCGGTCTTTGCTTCAGGGTTGTTGTTCGGCTTCACGACATTCCGAGAACTATAACTTCAGATTGAGAACACACTTAATGAGCCACTTTTGGAGAATCTTGTGGCGAAAGATGGGGAGAAAACTGATGGTAAAACGGAGGTAGTCACTACGAGTTTGGGCAATCTTTTGTGTCTTTTGATGGGAGGACATCCACAACAGTGGGATTTGTTCTCGTCTCAAGCTAAGTTCATATATAACAACGCTAGAAATAAAACCATAGAGCGATCATCTTTTAAAGTATTTTATGGCAGGAATCTTAAGCAGGTATTGGATCTGGTGAATTTGCCTGACATGGCGTGAATTAGCGATGTTGCAAGGGCTTGTGAGGAACACATTCAAGACATCCAGTTGGAGGTGACAGAAAATCTTAAGAGGAACACAATGCATTACAACGAGAATTTTGATCGACATAGGTGCCCAAAAGAGTTTAACAAGGGTGATTTAGTTATGGCCTACCTAGGGAAGGACATATTTCCTCAAGGGTAATACATAAGATGATGTTTAGGTGCATTGGGCATTGTCGCATTCTGAAGAGATTGGGAGAGAATGCGTATAAAGTGGAGCTTCTGGCAGGTTATGATATTTCGCCGATATTTAACATTGCTGATCTATATGATTATCACGGTGAGAATGATGAAGAAATGGAGATTGATTGGCAAGACCAGTTGCCAGATTGCAAGGCCGAGGTGACTGATTCTATTCTTGACACTAGGACTATTATCATTATGAGGCATGGATCATATAAACAATATCTTGTGCACTGGAAAGATAAATCTAAAGCAGAAGATTTGTGGATTTCGGGGACAGAGTTCCAGAAGAGTAACTATTTACAACTTTGTAAAGAGGTTAGAAAGTAGTTTTGTTAATTTTATCATTGTAGAGAGACTTTTCTCCATTGAAGCATCTTGAGCGTCACTTCTATAGAATCTATCGAATTTCCAGCCTATTAAATATAGGGGCATTAATATGAGGAGCAAGGATACTCCTCAGCACTTCCTGGAATGCAGAACACGAATAGGCTGGCTATGTGTAAGCTATCCAATCTAATGACACATACATATTATAGCTTCTATAGTAGATAAAAATATATATTCACCATAGTCCAAAATATAAACACCAAATCATCATGCATAACTTATACTTAATTCATATTTTATTTTTTATATTTATATTTACAAGTGTCCTTGGATTGGGAGATTCTGTATCGATATCGGTGCCATATCCTGTCGACAGTAGTACATAACAACTATACAGGTATCGGGGAAAGAATTGCAGTTACCTTACATGTGAAGGAGAAGAAAGTAAAGGAAAATTAAATCCAGAGGCAAAAACTTTAGTAATATGCTTTACTATACCCAGTTACCATGGACTTACAAACATGAAGTTCTTGCAGTCTTTTGAAGAAAGAAAGAACTTGAAGAATAGTCATTAACCCCATGTTGAAGACCTTCCACTTCGTCTTTAACAACAGGGAATGTTGATATCACCACATATCTTTGGAAATTTTGTATGCACAAGTGCATTTTAAATCATGTCAAGCTACCCTATTAATTTGGATATGCTGAAATAGGAATATGTCATCTTTTATCAAGAGATTTACAAGCCAAGTGGACTGTTGAAATTCTAACAGGAGAGCAACATGGCTCCACTTCCTGGGTCAGTGCATTGCCATGTTACGAAGGGCATGAGTTGTAGTAAGTTATCAGAGCAAGTCAAACAAGACAAAATGTGAGTCATCTGGGTGAAAGGACAAGTCATTCTAGTGAGTAATTTTCACAACCTCAGCGCAATTTGCTGAATATCATCCAAGATTTCTACAAAAAACCAAATTCAAGATATCCCCTCTTCCCTTTTCCTCTTTGGAAGATTTCAGAAACACATAGGAAACAAGCCCAACAGGAATGCAAATTACATGGTTTAGTAGGGTTATCTACTGGCAGCATTTTAAATTTTGCATCAAGTATCACCATTAAATCCCAGATATAAAAGTTTGGGGTTCTCAGTTTGCAACATTTTACATTGCATCAAGCATCATCACCATCAATTCCCAGATACAAAAGTTCAGGGTTCTCATTTTGCAACATATCAGTGAAACAACTAATTGCTTCTCAAGCAAACCTCAGCCTGTTTAATTCAGGTACATGTTAAAATTCATCAAAATATTATTTAGGGGAAAAAGCAAACAATTGTCCCATTTTTCACAGGGGAATACTAAATCCAGAATGATAGAACATATCAAAAGATGACGTTATTTAAAAAATATCTACAAACAATTGAAGTATACAGATAGAAATCTAAGCCCCAATTCAATTAAAATGGACAGGACAGGACACTGCATGATACCACAAATACAGAGAGAAAATCAAGCCAATCCTAAGAACAGAACACATACCACACTTCTTGCAATGGAAATATTCTTCTCGCCCACCCACTCTGTGAAAATTGCATCATTTCAGCATTTACAAGCAAAATATATAGAATAACTGACCAATGGAAGCAATAAGGCAAAAATATAAAAACGAGCCATAGACTGACCTGCAAATGCCACATTCATCACAGTGAAATTGTCCTTTAGATGTCTGCAAAGAGACAAACAATAGAATTTAGAATTGATAACTCAAAGGAAATTTGTATGGTTTTCTTTCACTAGATCTCATAGTAAAACTCTCTCAAATCTATAATAACACATTACAGTATGACAGAAAAAAAGGAGTATCTTTCCCGCTGACAAACAATACTGAAATTCATGGAGGCAACAAGGAAAACAAAATTTAACTTACATCATCATCATAGAATTTGCACACAGCACAGAAATATTCTCCCATTTTGATCCCACAGTTAGTGCATATAGGAGACACCTGAGCATTTGGTAATCGTACATATGAAGCTCAAAGCTCAAACCACAGGAAGGGGAAAAAACAGAAAAAGGGAATAATAGAACACCCATAAACTGAAATCATAGATCACACCCACCTCTTGCTCTGTATCACATATCAAACATATAACCTGAAAAATTCAAATCAAGGACCACAGCAATCAAGCCTTAAAGAACGAAAGAGAACATGAAAATCATAAACGCAAAAGGAAAAACACAGAAGGCTTACTTGCCGAACATCGTGTCTACAGAGGTCATGCCTCTCACTAGGACTGCTCACCAGACTCTAAATTAACGCATCAATTAGAAGAACACCAAGGCAGAAAGCCAAAAAAAGAAAAAAACCACAATCAATGTTTTCAAATAAGGGATGAGATTGAAACTATAAAGGTATATCTATCACTAACATAAATTTACCTTTGCCTCGTTATGACAGTGGCGGCATGGAAATACTTCATTGCAACAAGGGGCTCTGATCTTGCATCTCCTTTTATAATGTTTGCACCTGAAAAAAAAAAAAATTAAGTAGCATAGACCACAAAACAAACATTCTTCTGCACTTCAAGAATTGCAAGTTCAAAAAAGAAAGAGGAAAGGCAAAAACTAAGCAGCAGAGGCCACAAAACATTCTTCTGCACTTCAAGAATTGCAAGTTCAAAAAAGAAAGAGAAAAGGCAAAAACTAAGTAGCAGAGGCCACAAAACATTCTTCTGCACTTCAAGAATTGCAAGTTCAAAAATGAAAGAGAAAAAGGCATGGGTCTCAAACAAATCATAAAAGCGCAATGTTTTCAAAGAAAGAAAAGTAGGGTGATTCTCCTACAGTTCTTGCAGCTAAACATAGATAAAAACTCAGTGAGAGAAATCATATAACAAGCATATGCTCCCAAAAATAAAATCAGTTTTAGAGAGAGAAAGAAAACTGGTTTTCTAGAGATTTACCCATATTCACTCTTCTCAGAATCAAGTTCAAAAAACAGTTCCTTGTTAGAAGCTTCCATGGAGAATCAACAAGGGGGAATGGGAGGTGTAGAGAGAGAATGATTGAGGAGAGAGAGAGAGGACAAACTTGACTCTGGTAACTGTAGAGAGAGAGAGAGAGAGAGAGAGAGAAAGAATGAGGGTATATATGCATAGAGCTGCAGGGACTGTAGAAAGAGAGAGAGAGAAAGAATGAGAGGTTATATGCATACAGTTGCGGATATATATATATATAGCGAGAGGGAAATATGGGCGGCCAGGCCCACTTTTAAGGGGAAGAGGGAGAGTGAGAGGGAGATTGGATCGTTATATGCAATAAGAGAGGCTAAAAGTTGGGGAGGCGTCCTCTGGAGGAATGGATGTATCATTAAGACTGCCCATTGCCCCCCCACCTTCAATCTTCCATTATCCAACTACCAATCTTGGGCTCAGTCCTGAACTATTCTTAAAATGACCAGGCTTCCTAATTTTAATTTTTTTATTTTTATTTTTTTAAAGTTTTAATAAAGTGATGTCAAAACACAATGCGACTAGAGTGTGGAGGTGCTACCGCTACAACTCAGCCATTTTTTTCAAAATTAAGAATTTACTTTCTCAAAACTAATTTTCACCCTAAATAAATCGATTGGGGATGGCATTTGGTTCTAATACCTTACAGCTCAACCCTCTATTGGATCCGTGCCCGACCCAACTTCCCCTCCATTGGGTTAGTGCCCAACTCAACTTCCCCTCCATTGGGTTAGTGCCCAACCCAACTTAGGTCTTGGTCTAAGTCTTGCTGTGGGTTTGGACCTATATACCATATTTGGCAGGATCCTATTTGTATATTATTCATGTTGCAGGCAGCAATATCACATAGAGAAGTTTTTAGTTTAGTTGACTCTTTTTTTTTTTGTTTTTTAACCCACTTTATTAATAATAGCTTTTTTGGGAGATCGGGTTCATCTAGGACCTTATCAGATGAGGTTGAGAGAAAAGTTGGCCCGATCTTATATATAGTAGAAATATTATATTTTTTATTTGGATTCTGACCCTACCCATTAATTGGGACTAGGTTGGGTTAGGGTCGACCCAAACCAACATTCATGAAAATACTGCCCCAACATGCTCTATGTTGTTTCAAACTCGGCTCGGCACGTATGACTTGGGTTTTTAAGCCGGATCTAGATTTACCAAAAGAATAAAAAAATGTTCTATAAAGAGATCATATATCTTTTGTATATGAATGTCATAATTAAAAAATCAAATATTTTTAAAATTTTTAAAATTAGAATTGACAATCCCAATATGATTCGATGGGCACAACCCAAGCAAGATGAGGAATTTTTTAGCCACTGCTCTACGCCATCTAACAATGGTGAGTTTATGGCAATTACCCTCCTCTCTCTGGATTTTAGTAGTATTTTTCAAATTTTAAATTTCCAACCCAATTCTTTGTAACTGAAATATTGTGCTCTCCCTATGGTTATTTGGGGATGGTTTGGTCATTTGCAACCCAAAACCCAGTACAAGTGACTTATTTTATTTTTTATTTTTTTGGCAACTTCAGTGTTTTACTTCTCAAGTGGGTCCTGGCATTTGGTCTATCTTTGACCTCTTTCTTTCCATGTCCATGTTGAATTCCTGACCGGTGCAAGAAAAATTGAATCAAACGGTTAACTGGATAGAGGAAGTGGTCTAGCCACCCGGGTATTAAAAAAAATATTAATTGCTTTTAAAAAAATACAAAAATAAATATAAAACACGATTAAACAAAACACAGTTAAAAAATAATGAAAAATAGATTTTAAATGATCGATTTGTATTAAAGGTATTTTTAAAATTTTCTAAAAAAGATGAAAAAATATCAAAATAAGTATTAATGGCTAAAATAATTTCCAATATTTGTAAAAATGATGAAAATATTAAAAAATACATTACAACAAAAGCCCTTATTTTTTAAGATTTTATATAATTATTTTTAATTTTTTTAAAATGCCTAACCAGTTTATTATAGCCGGCCAAAACCGAAACCGGCTAGTGGTAGTTTCTGATCTAACCGTGGTTGTGCCAATAACACTAGAAATGGGTTAATAAAAAAATTAAATTAAATAATAAATAGAAAAAGAAAAATATAGATGATGGAAACTGGGTGATCTAGATTGTTTGATTCCTACCGATTTTCAATTTAGATCCAGGATTTCTGATCTAAATTGATGGGTTCTGAATCTGGTGGTTAAAAAATTAAAATGGTGTGGGAGTTTGGACCATCTTCTCTCTCCAAAGATTTATAAAATGAGGAGTCGCTGACGTTCCCCCAATGCCAAAGGGTCCCAACATTGATGGTGCAATTGCTCACCCCCAACTTGTGCTTGCTCATATCTCTTATTTTTATTTCACATACTTTATAAGAAAAAGAAAAAAGAGGACCATCCAGAAATCTAATCCCCTTCTATTGATGACCCACACGAAACCCACAAAGTTGGTCATATTTTGCAAATGAAGAAAAACTCTTCAGTTGGTGATGCAATCAATACCTTTTTAGTCGGTTAGAGAGATTATTGAGCCGGCCCAAAAAAAAAAAAAAAAGTCAAAGCTTGGCTATTTTAAAACATTTTATATTTAGTGGGTTTGATCATTGTTATCATTCGAGCTTTAGCCCAATTAGTTAGTAGATTGATGTAAAATCGATAAAAAAAAAACACATGTATTTCAAAAATAACCGTTCACGACGTTTGAGTTGCAGGAAGCGAGAAGTAGACTGTTTTGGTTTGGAGAATGCTTGGTGGCTAGGGGAATTGATGTGCCTTGCCTTCCATTTCCACCGTTAACATGTCAAATAAAAAAAATGGCTCGATTTTTCTAGTTTTGTATCTCGTTTCTCAATATTTGTTATATATATATATATATATATATATATAATTCAAAGAATCAAAATTTGTGATCTCACTCGAACTACTATTGGGGACTGAGACCCTAATTCTTAATCACTGGCGTCCAAGAAAATGAGTTGCACGGTGATAGAGAGAAAGTGGGATGAACTACTATTGGGAACTGAGACCCCAATTCTTAATCACTGGCGTCCAAGAAAATGAGTTGCACGGTGATAGAGAGAAAGTGGGATGGTGATAACCTCATATTCATGTTGTTGTCGAGACCAATAAGGGTAAGGCCTTGAAAATTAAGTCACACCTCAAAAATTCATTATAAGAGGTTGTTTCGATACTAAAAAATCCTCAAATGGATCATCTTGACCTCAAGATATATAAAAATGAAAAAAAATGGACATCAAGTCTTTGAAATAATACATTTTCTAGACTATCAATTTTCAAGATTTTTAATTATTCATAGATTTGCACGATCTACACTATTTTTAAAGCTCTAAATGTAAAACAACATTCTTCGACAGATGAAAATAATTTTTCAGACCATCACAATGATTTCTAACACTAAAACAACATTCTTCGATACTATTTGAAGGAGCGCCTTACGTTGATTGTTTAGGACCTTAGCCTAATGCAAACTACACCCTAAAAAAATAAGCTAGCGCTGTAACTCATTTCAAGATCACAAAATAATTGCAAAAAATTTAACTACTTCAGTAGCATGTTTCTTATTGGATAAAACATGTCAAATTTCAGAAATTGTCGTAATGTTCGTTGAATTTGTGGTGGAAAGCTGAAAAATAGGTTTTACTGAAGAGATGGGGGCTCTTATTTTAATGGTGGCAAGATCTGATTGACGTCATCTTTGGGGATCGCTTTCCGATAATTCACAGACTTGCATTTCTTCTCCATAGTCACAGGTACTAAAAACTAGACCTCATATCACTGTTCATGATGTCTGCACGTGAGAGTCAGTGGCTTTTTAAGGGGTAATATTGGTCCCTTCTATTTTGACAAAATTTAGGGTTTTGACGGTTGGAGGCTCATAGGGGCTGAACAAGAACAATATGGGATTCGTTAATGGAAGGCGAAGATGATCCGTAGCTCGGTTTGACAAAAGGGGGATGGAGCTACACATCATCATCGCCGTTCATTTCAGTGATCAAATGTCAAAAACGGCTCATAATTATTATGATTTAAAAACCTCTTAGATGCGGAAACAAGAATCCAAAAGTTGGATCTTATCAAGATCATATACTTATCCAACTACAAACAAAATAGGATAGCACAAACCATAATATGATAAATAAAGCATGAAACATATACACCACGAGAACACAAAGATTTACGTGGTTTACTCCAAAAGAGCTACATCTATGGTGTTTCATGCTTTATTTATCGTATTATGGCTCGTGCTCTCTCTTATTTTGTTTTTAGCTGAATAAGAGCATGATCTTGATATGATCCAATTTTTGGATTCATGTTTCCGCATCTAAGAGGGTGGTTCTTAAATCCTAGCAATAATATGTATCTTATAGGGATGGCGCCCTTTTAATTTACTAGTAAATTATCATAGTTAAAATAAGCGAAGTTAATCAAGATACCTACAAGAGATGAGCTATTTAAAATTTTAATCATTTGCAGCTATTCCAACTAATGATCATGTACCTTTTGATAGGTATTTTGAAAGTAAATCAAAAGATATGTATAGAATGATAAAGACAAAGCGCTTTAAGTTCCAGGGGATGCAATTCCACAATTTTGTCCCCTGATGCACCGCACATCCATCCTTATGAATGTGAAGAAGTGTTAGTCCTACCTAAAAACAAAATTAATGGTTTAAATTTATTCTTCCAAAAGTATTATTTTTAAAATTTTAAATTTACTTTTTTTTAATAGTAATGCTCCCCATGCTAGGGATTATATCTTTCTAAAAAATTAAGTTCAAAATCCATCTCAAAAATGGATTATGAAAAGAGGGGACATTGTCTACATATGAGTCAACCAACTATTAAAAAAATGTGTCCAACATTAATCAAAGGCATGAAATGAGATTCTAAAGTTGAAGATTGATTGTGCGCAATTTAGAGAAAGTTCTCTCGGAAAACATATCAAAGATTTGCAAATAAAAGAGGAAAAATATGAAATATTGATATTAAATTATGGGATTGTATGATATAAAAGATCACAATCATCTCTAACGCAGATGAGAAATCGAGTCCCTAGGGAGGAGTTATATCTTTTGCACAAAGACCTAGAAAGACTCTCTTAGACTTTTTTGTTTTTTGGTAATTCAATGGGACGATGAGCCCCTACCCGTTTTTGAAATCGTTAGTGGTTTTTTAATGCATTAGGTGAGAATAGCGTAGACTTTAGTTGGGGGCACAAATGATGCTACCACCACGACCCCAAACTTATTTTCAACTCTCTTGGACTTTAAGTGCGGTTAATGACATAACCTCGCCTTGATCCA